GAAGGTCTTGGTTGGGTTTAGAAGGTCTTGGTTGGGTTTGGAAGGTCTTGGTTGGGATTGGAAGGTGTTGGTTGGGTTTGGAAGAGATTGGTTGATCTCAGTTGACCTTAGTTGGGTTTGGAAGGTGTTGGTTGGGTTTGGAAGATCTTGGTTGGGTTTGGAAGACGTTGGTTGGGTTTGGAAGGTCTTGGTTGGGTTTGGAAGGTCTTGGTTGGACTTGGAAGACCTCGGTTGGGTTCTAAGAGCTTAGTTGATCTCCGTTGACCTTGGTTGGACTTGGAAGACCTGGGTTGACCTGAAATGACCCTTAGTTGACCTTGGTTGGGTTCTAAGATCTTGGTTGGCCTCAATTGACCTTGGTTGGATTTGGAAGACCTTGGTTGACCTCAAATGACACTTAGTTGACTGAAGTTGACCTCGGTTGGTCTTGGAAGACTTTGGTTGGATTTGGAAGAGCTGGGTTGACATCAAATAATCCTCAGTTGACCTGGGTTGGGCTCCAAGATCTTGGTTGACCTCAGTTGACCTTGGTTGGTCTTGGAAGATCTTGGTTGATTTTGGTTGACCTTGGTTGGATTTGGAAGACCCTGGTTGACCTCAAATGACCCTTAGTTGACTGAAGTTGACCTTGGTTGGGTTGGAAGATCTTGGTTGACCTTGAATGATCCTCAGTTGACCTCAGTTGGGTTTTTAGACCTTGATTGGCCACAGTTGACCTTGGTTGGGTTCTAAGACCTTGGTTGACTTCCGTTGACCTCCGTTGACCTCCGTTGACCTTTGTTGAGTTCTAAGACCTTGGTTGACCTCCATTGACCTTGGTTGACCTCAGTTGACCTCTGTTGACCTCAGTTGACTTCCATTGACCTCAGTTGACCTCCGTTGCCCTCCCCCTTGCCCCCAGGCCCGGCTGACGTGCCCGTGCTGCAACGCGCGCAAGAAGGACGCCGTCCTCACCAAGTGCTTCCACGTCTTCTGCTTCGAGTGCGTCAAGAACCGCTACGACACCCGCCAGCGCAAGTGCCCCAAGTGCAACGCCGCCTTCGGCGCCCACGACTTCCACCGGGTCTACATCAGCTGAGCCCCCCCCGGGCCACCCGCCGTGGCCAAAGGTCAATCACGGTTGGCCAAGGTCAACGTTGGGGGTCGTCACCACTTCGGACCCCCATATTTCCCCCTTTTTTGACGTTCATGGTTGAGCTTTGACCAACCAGTTGACCCTTGACCCTTCTTTGGTGACCCATAGCCACCCACGATGGCTAAAGGTCAACCACGGTTGGCCAAGGTCAACGTTGGGGGTCACCACTTTGGACCCCCAAATTTCTCTGTTTTTTGATCTTCATGGTTGAGTTTTGACCAACTAGTTGACCCTTGACCTTTCTTTGGTGACCCCTGACCACCCGTGGTCACCCTCAATGACCAAAGGTCAACCACAGTTGACCAAGGTCAACATTGGGGGTCGTCACCACCTCAGACCCTTAATTTTCCCTCTTTTTAATGTTCATGGTTGACCTTTGACCCCCAGCC